ATTGCGACTACGAGGGACGAATGGGTGCTGCTATAAGGAGCTTCGCACCTAAAAGCAATTATTGCGCATACCTGAGGCGCCACAACAATGCTTCAATGTTTTCTATGTCTTCCTTTATACTAGAAAAGGCACACACGAGCAATTCCAAGGAATGTAGCGTTTAATCGCGCTGCACTGACAGTGCAACGCGATGCTCAAAAAAAATTGCCCGCAGCTTCCCTCAGGGGAACACTGAGGAGGATGCGGAGCATATAATTGGTTAACGGGGTGTTAAAGTGCGACTTACTTGGGTCGATGGCTAAATTGGTTAACGTGGTTGTGAAATGGGGTGTTAAATTGCGACTTACTTGGGTCGATGGCTAAATTGGTTAACGTGGTTGTAGGAGGGGGTGTTAAATGAGTGAACACGTACACACGTATGCGAAAGGGCGGCGCTGGTCGAAAGGACGTCGATCATTGTGTTTGTGGATTCGTTGGCATTCATTTCACCGTGACCTTGGACGTCGACACGCCGTACAAACCAACCGACGAGCGGCAACTGAGCGAGCGAGCGCCGACCTTGAGTATATATACAGCGCGACGGCGCATGCACTGTCAGCTGTTGAATGTTCTCGAAGCGCGACGGCGTCCCACTGGAGAATCAGGAGAATTGTAGAATGTTCTCGAAGGGGAGAAGCGCGCGCGGCACAGATGGTGGGTGACGGTGCATGCGCGCGTCAGCTGTCGAATGTTCGAGAAGGGGGAGAAGCGCAACGGCGCATGCGCGCGCGTCAGCTGCCCATGTTTTCGAAGCGCAACGGCGCATGCGCGCGCGTCAGCTGCCGATGTTCTCGAAGCGTGACGGCGCATGCGCGCTACATTATACACCTAGCGAATGTTCGTGAAGAGGAGAAGCGCACGCGGTGTGTAGAGGAGGAAGGATGCACAGATGGTGGAGGAGTGAAGCGCGCGCGGTGTGTAGAGGAGGAAGGGATGCACAGATGGTGGAAGGAGGAGGAGGAAGCTTGCGGACGGCGCCGCAATACAAGCCTCGAGTATTAGATGCTCCGCATCTAAAAGGTGTTTCCAACGCTTTGCTACGACTAAGGTCCCTAGATGAAACAAGGTAGCGTCACTCATTGTTCTGGAGCCGTCCTCCTCACTCTCTCGATTACTCCTCTTTTTCTCTGCCATCCGCGTCTGTAATTGGTGCATTACTTGCACGTGATCTTGCAAAAGGCTGGTGGTGTTATTTATTATTCAAAAGGTTCAAAACGAGTACGCATGCGCATGTGGCTCCAGCCGGATTCTCGCCATGGCCAAAGACAAAATCGTAGCCAGAACATAAACTGAAGAGGAGGAGCGTTTCGGTGTGCGCTAAGTCGACCAAGATTGTTTCGCCATGCTCGTTCAATGCAACATCTGCGTTTTTCAGCAATGCTGCGTTGCCGTAAACAACAGAAAATGGTTTCGCTCTCTTCAACTTACCTCATGCTTGCTTTCCGAGATGAAGCGCACCATGAAGTGCAACTATGAACCGTTTCACGCGAATGCTTTCGTGCAACTCCGTCAACGTGCGTCGACGCGGATCTGCGAAGCGAGTTCACTTGTCGGTTTTTATTGAAACGCCAGGCGCGCGTCTAATGCGTGTCTAGTGCATTCTAGTTGGTACAAGTACATGTGGGTATGCACGTATACAGAGCAGCTGTAGGTTGTAATCAACGCACCTTCAGAAACATTTCACTCTTGACCAGTTCCCGCTTGAGCCGAAACGTGCTGCTTCGAGACACCTCACCAGTAGAACTCTCACTTTTCAGGAAGTTCCCAGCACCGCATCAGAATCACTTGGCATCACGATTGTCCAAATTTTCACATTTAAAAAAAACGTCATCGCAGTGCTGCTGGACGAGTGTTCGTACCAGTCTGGTCGTAGTTTTTTTTTCTTGCGTGTGCACAAGCCGGTTGTAATCAATCGTCACAACGTCACGCCCTGTGGCCACTTACAGGATCCAGCGAGAAGCACGTTCACTGTGTCACAGCATGAACGAAACACAATCGCAGAAGTGGACTAGTTAGAACTGGATGAAATACCGCAGCCGTGGAACTAAAATGTCTCTTCCTCCGTGTAAAATGTACTACGCGAGACGCCATGGCTAGTGGTGTAAAGTATAGAGCTGCACAACGTTGCCGGTTGAGTAACGCACATCCCGCTTGCTCTTGTGTTGTGCCGTTTATGTTCATAAAGGTAACTGTTTATTCTACGTCTTATTTCGTTCCATTGTGTTTCATTTACATCTATTCACCGTAGCAACGGAACCCAAACATTCGCTTTTGGATGAAAGTTTTAAACCTTCTAGGGGGCGCTTCAGGAACGTAGGCGAAGAGGAAAGGGAAAGGTGTCGCTACCTTGGAAACTTGTTTCATCTAGGGACCTTAGCTACGACGTCACGGTGGTGGCACCTGCCCGTCGCTTTACGTTCTACACCTTATCACCCCCGAGACTGGCGCGCATCTTTCTCCTCGGGCTGCAAGCCTTCGTTTTAGAAGATAACTGCCAGATGGCACCTGTGTCAAACGTGCCTAGATGCGCTCGTTCGCCTCCGCCACATGCTCGAGGCACTATAACGCAGCGCCTGCAGAATACCATTCACCGATTTTCTTGCGCAGAACATCAAATAAACGTTTTGTTCACTCTCTCCAGACGCAAGACTATCATCTCTCGACGACATTTACATTGTAACATGTAGATTCGGGCCATTTTCTTTTCTCTCCTAAATTCTCTCTTCCTCTCTCTGCACATCCCAAATGTCCATTAAATGCTTATTCGCAACTCCTTCAAACGCTCCGTGTGCGGGCATTGTCGAAAAAACAAAGATGGCTGCGCTTAGCACGGTCAGCACGGCACTTTAATTGCTTGGCGCTGTGCTGAAGTTTCTTGATTGCGGCGTCGAATCACGTTGTTTCGTCCGCGGCGAAAGAGTGCTGTCTCCGAACCACCTCATTCTCAAACGCATAAAGAATTTTCCTGAAGAAACAGCAGAAACACTTGCGCTGTGCACGCAAACATCGAGCCTCTTCGACCAACTGCATCAGGCCTACTTCAAATTGAAGGAGCTGTCTAGTGAGCCCGAGGTTGAAGAAAGCAACTGCTCATGTGTAGCAGGCTTCTAAGAAACGTGTTAGCACTTTTGCGCTGCGTTGCTACACTGGTACAGGCAAGGCCTTAACAGTTTTCGAGGCAACTACTCTGCGGCTCGTGCTGCCGATTCCATTGAGTTCCGTTGTCCTGTCAAAAGTTGAATACACATGCCGTTCACTTAATGACAGAATGGAGCTATGCCTGGGCCACTCTATCTTGAGATAAGACAAATCCTCATTTACATTGAAATTGAAGTGTTCCTATGCTTTCATTCCCCAATCTATGTTATTAGGTCTCTAATGAATAAGGCCGTGCGCTTCCGAGCACTCGTTTGTTCGTGTTGGCAGTATAGTTGATATTTAAAGCAGATATATGCATGCACACTACGCATGCACGGACTTGATGTATACGCACGAACATACATACACGCACGCGTCACCTTCACGCGCGCGTTCGTGTGCGTGTATACATACACCCGTTCGAAGTAAAAAAAAATGCCCGCAGAGGAAGGATTACTGCAGCTCAAATGCAGAAGGGGTAGCACTGTAGGATTTGCGCAGAAAACGAGCATATGAGAAAAATGAACTCGCACACGTACCACCTCGAATTTCTTAAAGTGCTTATGTGAATGAACTATACTCCACGCTGAGAGAAACCCGAATATTGATAATTTACACACGCTAACTAGTGGTGTGCTCACCGAAGAGAATTAGGCCGTCGCGTGCGAATTGATCAAAACAAACTACCGTCGTGTCCGTCGCCATCTTTGCAATGGGCAAGTTCCTGATTTAAGCCAATCTCCGTCGTGTGTCGTCTGCATCCTTCGGGCAGTGATTGAACGATACTTTGCCTTCTTCCCGCCGCGATGCCAAACATTGCGGCACACTGAAATTGTCTTTCGACGTCGCCTTCTTCTTTTTCTGACTCCCGCGTGCGGAATGGTGAAAATAAGGGAACTATACGGCCGCTTCTCAACGCAGGTGACGTGATAACACATCCTGTTTCACGGTTCAACCTGTTAGCGCCGTTTCCAGGCTCGGCCGCTAGGCGGCGAGCGCTCAGTTGGAGTCGCAAACAGCATAACATCTGAAAGTATGTGTATAGCTTGCTATGAATATACAAAGAATTTTCGTAGTTTGTTTGCCGCCACTGAGGAGGCTTGCCGAAAACGATGGCTTGCGCTCGCTCTAGAATGGCTGTATCTACAAAGTGAAGATCCCGCCATCAGGACGGAGCAAGCAGATGAAGAACAACTACTTCGACGGCTCAGTCATAATTCAGAAAACAGACATAGCAGCCAAATGGCAACCCCGCCGCGGTGGTCTATTGGCTAAGGCTGCTGACCCGCACGTTGCGGGATTGAATCTCGGCAGCGGCAGCTGCATTTCTGCTAGAGGCGAAAATGCTGTAGGCCCGTGTGCTCAGATTTGGTTGAATTATAAAGAATCCCCGGTTGGTAGAAATTTCTGGAGCCCTCCACTACGGCGTCTCTCATAATCTGATGGTGGTTTTGAGACATTCAATCCCACATATCATCTTCAGCCAAATGGCAACCGAATAAGAAAAATCCCAAAGTGGCAACAAGAGAAACACAAGCAAAAAGTAGGTATTGACCCCGAGATACAGTCGTGAAAGAAATGATTCAAAACGAGAAATACGGGGACAGTGAGTACATTGCGTTTCCCCAGCGTTCAAATAAACTGGGGCTGTCCACAGTTTTCTTTTTATTTATCTCCTTTTTGACATCGATGCCGCGCTTACTACGAGTAAGTAAGTGAGTGAGTGAAAGGACTTCTTTTCGATTTGCATTATTATAATAATTATGCCAAGCACATCTTGTCATGTCGTCTGATTTATTTTTTTTCCTATTCCACAAACAGGGAAGTGACTACCAAAAATGCAAAATACAGTGTTGCTGGAAGTTAAACTTTGACGTCATCCAAGAACGGGAGTTCATTATTGATGACTCGAGTGCTTACGAGGGTGACTATAATTATGAAGACCCGAAGGAGTGCCATGAGCACAATTTGCTAGAAGCAATGTCGTGTGGCGAGAACAAGGTACTCGTTAAACCTTTGTCACTTGCATTCACTAGGTTGAAGGAAGTGTCGTTGAGATTTTCTATTTAAGTGTTCACAGACAACATGTAATGTCAGCACCGAAACTTCCCACTGAATCGCAACCATGACTACTATTGAAGTTATCATTGCAATTGCATTGCTGTATTAGCGTGTTTGCACCTATGTAAAGTACACATTGTGCCTTTTCGTGGTACTAAATGTTCCAAATAGAACACTGACCTACCACTATGTGTGCCTAACAGTGGCAGTGCATGTAACTTCACGGTGACATCTGAAATTCCTTTAGAAAGGTTTCGCTTCTCTGTTCCCGTCAAATGAAACGTGGAAAATTTAAGTTTGGCATCTTGAGTCACAGATCGGCAAACTTTCTCATGAGTCGACTCAGTCAGGCTTGTATTGAGCCATGACACTAAGTGTTACTAAGTGCAGGTGAGTAATAAATTGGTGAGTTTGAAACCGAGTGCTTCTGGTTCAACAAAGTATTAGGGAAGTTGTGCCCCAATAAGCGCTAAGAACAAAATATAGTTTTTGAACGACCCTGTGTGACCTCCACATTTCATTGCCGACCTATGGTCTGGTCTACCCAGCTTTAGCATTATTGACAACCCTGTGGCGGCTCACATTTTTACTCAAGTCTATTGACACATCTGAACAAACTAACATTCGTGTGGCATCGTTGCATGTTATTGACCAGAGGCATTGATTTATTTGGTTGATGTGTGGGGATTAACGTCCCGAAAATCACATAAATATGCGAGATTTCGTAGTGGAGCACTCCGGAAATTTCGACCAAGTGAGGTTCTTTAACGTGCACACAAATATGGGCACACGCGCCAACAGCATTTTTGAATCCATGTTCAGATGCATGAATTGGGAGAAACGCGAACTCTTTAGTGGAAAGTTCTCGATAAAAACATTCGTGCGTCTGGCATCTTTCATTAAAAAAAAATGTTTTTACTGCTGGATTTAAATCACTGATAACTCGCATTTGAATGTAGAAGATCAAAATGCATATTGCCGAGTATCAATTACGTAAGGAATTTGCGGTAACAAGCGTTGCCACCTTAATCAAAAGAGGTGATATCACGCTGATATATGCATCAGTCGAGTCATTCAGGTTTATTCATGCTTTGTTGAAGCCTTGAGTCAGAGTCTGAGTGATGCAGGCTGAGGATATCACGCTGATAGATGCATCAGTCGAGTCATTCAGGTTTATTCATGCTTTGCTGAAGCCTTGAGTCAGAGTCTGAGTGATGCAGGCTAAGGAAAATCTCGAAAATCTCGGTAAGACTGAGTCTGAGTGCTCTCTCAGAGAAAAAAAAAACATTATTCTTGAGTGGGTCTGAGTGGGCTCTTTTTTTTTTTTGTCGACCTATGGTCACCGACGGGTTTTCAACTAAAATGTGCTGCGAAAACATCCGCGGATACCATACAAGGAAATAAATCTTCGCATGAACGGAAGCCTGTCTGCGATGGCTCTCGTGGAACGTGCCAATGCGCTATCTTCTATGGTCTACCGGTTAGCGAAGCAGTCGAATTGCCCTCCTTCTGCGGTGGTTCATGTGGTTTGAGCAGCAGGAAATTGTCCGCACCTTTGTATTTTTTCTTACCTGTTCGAAGTTCGGCAGTTCAAAATCAGTGGTTGTTTGCCGATGCATGTTTCTTTGATTCGTTAGGAATGTAAATTCCTAGGACTTAAGTGCACGACCCTAGACGACTACCTCTTTCCGAGCGGTTGTGTTTCCCGACGCGACCAAGCTCACCGAGCTCTCCTTACATTTATGAACCAAACGGACCTGGCCGCCCGTTTATAGATGGTTTCTTTGTATTTTTTACTCATACTTTTTCAAGTCTTCGTCATTTTTTTCTCTCTTCCTAATCTTCTTCCCTCTTTCTCCCCTCTAATCTTTGTTTCCTCTGTTTCTTCCCTGCTCCCGAAAGAGTGAGCAGGCTGTGCCCCTTCAAGTGGCAGTTGCCAGCTTGCTCTCTCCCTCTTTTCTCTGTGTCTTTGTGTATCTGTGTATGCAAATATAATAACAATATTAATAATAATATTAATCATAATAATAATAGCTCGTAAATAGACTTCTGTGGTTACAAATTCAGCGAATCGATCTTGTAGAAACAAGCAGCTCAATTTTGAGGTCCTACATGTGCGATAGTTGGTGCGGCATTTTCCGGCATCAGAAGTGCAATATACGCAGCCGGTGGCAGACCAGAACTTCAGCGTCTTGCACGTTTCGGTCCTTTCACTGCTTCTGTTCTTGCGCTTCTCCTGCCTAAAAAATTTTTCACTTTTGAAATTCTAGATACATGTGTTTACTTGAATTTAACCTTCTGCTTCAGTTAAGGCTAATAGTGTAGAATTTCGCAGCTACTTACTAAATGACGCGAGACTGATTTTGCGTATCGTAGCCTCGCTGTAACTACTGCTAGATGAGGTATAATGTTTTTATTTGAGCGAACAAATGGCTTGCTTCATAAATTTCTGAATGGAATGACCTAAAGAAAGCATCAAGCTTTATATCCTAGCCGCTGCCCCCGTTCTATGAATTTCACTTTTACCGTCAGGCTTATCGTGCTTAATACTCTATTTCATTTGTTTACAGACGTGCTGGCGAGGTGTTTGTGGTGAGCATAACTGGACCGAAATCTATGAAATGTATCATACTAACCGCACATTCCAGACATGACATTACTTCTGCCACTTTCACGAAGAACAACTTCAAGAATCGAATGATACGAAATTTGTGCTGTATGAGCACGAAACTAGGAACTACTGAACAATTCTAATAAAATGTTTGTTTTTACCAACCGAGCCGTTTGGATATCCCCACATTCGTTCTGTTTTGTTGTACTGAAATACGACAGCAACCATATACTATTCTGCGAAAGTGGCACGTGCATACTGGAGGTCGTTACTTGAGAATGACGAGCAGGTGCCATCTGCACAATAAAATAAAAAGTGAAAACAAGACGTGGTCTCTTGTGAATTCGCATAAGACGACTCAGAAGGCGAAAGTCGCTTCTTTGGTGTAATTTTTCTTCTCATTAAATTGTGTTAATCTATCTGCTTTAAACGTTTCCGTACCTATTATAATTTTGCTCTTTATCCTTTATTCAAAACCGCAAGCGCTGCAATCGTTTTTCACCTCACGTGGCTTTCAATTGCCACCAAGATTGGCCCACTTTTGCCCGAGCGATGATTCCCCATGAGGTCGTCATCACGTGAAGTCACGTTGCGTCATGGCACGATGATTTTCTGATTATGTTGCAAACTTCTCTGATTTGCCGCGTCACTATCATGTCGTATAAAAATAATCACGTGGCGATTTTCAATCACTCAGATTTACGCTGACACCAAAACTGGTGGTTGATTTCTGCGTCTTCTGATGCTTCTAAGGCTTTCGCCTTAATTACCTGTCATTTATTTATGGCAGTCAAGACAGGAGAAATTCAGAAAGAAAAGCACGGAGGTCAACCTATTTAAGACAACTGATCTGCTACCTCTCGCATGGGAGGGGGATGAATGAGATTGAAGTATTGTAAGGAAAAATAATTTGGCCCCGTATCTGCATGTAATCTGCAAATGTCGTCGAAAGACGATAGTTTTGAGTGTGGAGAGAGTGAACAATTATTTTATGTTCTGCGCAAGAAAATCGGTGAATGGTATTTTGGAGGCGCTGCGTTAGAGTGCCTCGAGCGTGCAGCGGAGGCGAACGAGCGCATCGAGTCACGTCACACGTGAGACGTGAGCGCCATCTGGCAGTCTTCTTGCAAAGCGAAGCGCCTGGCTCTGAGACAAGTGTGCACGCCCGTCTCAGAGGTGATAAGGTGAGGAACGCAAGGTAACGGGTAGGTGCCACCACCATCGCGTCTTGGCAAAGCATTGAAAACAGTCACCATTTCGTGCAAGCGTTGCATGGCCAGCACAGCGTGATAAGCGCTACGGTCCCTAAAGATACCCACGTATGAATTTTCTAGTAGAAGATTCACATGCAGAATATATACGTGTTGTTATGGTGCCCCAGACTTGCGCAATAATTGCTTATTAATTGACAATTGCAAAAGCATGAACGTTAAACCTTCAGCAACATTTGTGGGTGCTGCGGGTGGGGTGAGCCGTTTCAAATATCCGGTGCCGTTAAGAGTGGACAAGCAGACAATGTACAGACAGACAGACAGAAAGACAGACAGACAGACAGACAGACAGACAGACCAAAATTTTTGCGTCGAAGGTCCCCAAGAGAGACTATCGTGTTTAAAAAAATGAACCAGCGACAAACAGCACACACACACACATTCTCTCACAGTCACGTCACTCTGGCGTGGTACGAGACGCTACGTACTTTCACAGAGCTTGTAAGAGCCCATATTTCTTGAAGGACCAATTACAAAATTTCAAGCTCCAGATGTGGCCTTCTCTTGTTACCTTTATATGCTAGAGTTGTCCGAGCAAAGTACGAACTCTGCCTTTTACACCAACAGCATTTGACGTGTCCAACAATCACCCAGGCAATGCCACAGGCGCTGAGTAAGAATGTGCTAATAACGATAATGCCAATGATCTCAGTGTTGTCGTCGTCATGCCGACTGGCGACGACTCCGGGATGCGGCTTTCCTTCGATTGTCTGGGTTCGTTTTCTGAACTCCTTTGTCTTCGCAGCATCACTTGAAATGATTCGTCTTGGGCTCGTAAGCGTAGGATATGTAGGGGTGATGATCCAAGCCTAATTGCGAGCCGGCGCGTCGTTAAACAATTGTGCGCGATTTACGCAAAGGGCGAGGTACCGAAAGAAAGAATGCCTTCGTCGCAAAAAGCTGCAATTGCCATTTCAAAAAGCTTCCACTTAAGATTTTTCCTGTGCGTGATTAAACAATAAAAAAGTTTTGTTCAAAACGCCGTTGATTGATCAAATAAACCATTGAAAGACGCCAGATGTTTTCTAAAAGCAAATCGAAAAGACGCCAGATGTTTCTAAAGCAAAACAAAAAGAAGACGCCAGCTGCTTAACGAAAGACACCAGGTGTTTTCTAGAGCGATGGTTTTATAATCAAAGCCATATCAATTCAGATTTGTAGTTGCCGATGCTCGTTGCCGTCGGCGTGTGCTCGTATGGTACATTCAGCACTATCTGACAGGGAAAGGTTGCTGTATACGTTATACTCGCTGGGCGTAACCTCCTTGGTTTTAAAAAGGTTTAGTGAGCGTTGGGTCCTAGTGCCATGAATACAGTGAACTAGTATATACCATAAACTCGAGGTGGTTAAAGGTGGGAAGTAGACCCGAAGCGCAAGCCATAAAAAAGTGTGCGTGTGCCACCTCTCATTTAGTCCTTGGAATGTCCGCTGGATGGCGGTGCTTCTATATGGGGAATATACGATGAAAAGATGCGAGATGATGGTACTTGGAGTGTTGAATAGATGGATGAACGGCCACACGGACAGATGCATGGATGAACGCATGAACGGACGCAGGGGCAGATGCATGGACGAACGCAGGGACGGAGACACGAACAGACGCATGCACGGACGAGCGGATGGACGCATGGACGGTCGCACAGACGGACGCATGGACGGACGGAAGCAAGAGCGAATGGACGGACGAATGCTTCGCCCCACTCTCCAACATTCACTCCGTGGATATGCGGCCATTTTTTAGATGCGGGAGCATCTTATACTCGCGCCTTGTAGTGCGCCGTCCGCGCCGTCCGCACCGCTTCTCGAACATTCGACAGCTGACGCGCGCGCACGCGCCGTCGCGCCGTCGCTCACCATCTGTGCCGCGCGCGCTTCTCCTTCTCGAACATTCGACAGCTGACAGCGCATGCGCCGTCGCGCCGTCGCCATCTGTGCCGCGCGCGCGCTTCTCCTTCGAGAACATTCAACAGCTGACAGTGCATGCGCCGTCGTGCTGTATATATACTCAAGGTCGGCGCTCGCTCGCTCAGTTGCCGCTCGTTGGTTGGTTTGTACGGCGCGTCGACGTCCAAAAGTCGCGGTGAAATGAATTCCAACGAATCCACAAACACAATGATCGACGTCCCTTCGACCAGCGCCGTCCTTTCGCATACGTGTGTACGTGTTCACTCCTTTAACACCCCCTCCTACAACCACGTTAACCAATTTAGCCATCGACCCAAGTAAGTCACAATTTAACACCCCATTTCACAACCACGTTAACCAATTTAGCCATCGACCCAAGTAAGTCGCACTTTAACACCCCGTTAACCAATTATATGCTCCGCATCCTCCTCAGTGTTCCCCCGAGGGAAGCTGCGGGCAATTTTTTTTATTATCACCTGTGAATCGTTGCTTCAAAATCGATGACTGCACGTGGACACAGAAAACGCGACATGCGTAAAACCTTCAGCTGCAATCACTTCAGAAGCTACAAAGATTGCCCTTGAGAAGGCTAAATTTAGTGGACCCGTGGTGACTGTATGTTCCCCTGTACTGAGAACACGTGCATCATTCTTACACGCTTTATCCCATCAGCTGCATCACATCCGGCAGAACGGCAGGCTGTTCTATTTTCTCGTGAAATAGCATCCTGTCGCATGGCTTAGGTATCCCTTCTTCTTTGAATATCCTGCACATGGCTATCGCGACGGTTCCAAGCTGTTTTGTCGACACTTGAATGGGCTCTAACCCGTGCAATGTACGACACATGTGTCTTTCCATTTCGGGGAAAATCCACAGATGGGCATGACTTTTCGTTTCGGCGTGAACCATAAAAGTAACGCTATTGCGTGTCAAACCTTGAGTCCGTGGCATTCAATCGCGTAGCAATCAACATGGTGACCATTATTCTTACAGCTATTTTATCACTGCTGGCTGCGGTAGAAGGGGGATCTGGTAAGTACTGTCACCACGTTACCGGAGTAATTCAGCAAATATTCTCGAAAAGTGTGCTTTCAGTAAGGAACTGTTAACTTATAGATGTGTTTCTTGCGGGAAAGGGACCACAGTAAGTAACGGCAATGTCGACGGTGAACTAATAGACATTCCTAGGGTGAAGTTAACTCACGAATACTCTGCTGTAACTATTTATTGTTCTGTACTCACTATAGTAGCGGTGCACATTTTTTTTGCTTAAAGACATGTTAACGGTTGACGAAGTGTTAGTGGCATCGCTAACTGATCAACTTTAAAAAAACTTTTTGTTATCAATACCTGAACTTGATTGCAGTGCCACGAAATAAAGCAATTACTGTGCTGAATTTAGATAAGCACGAATTATTGTGAAGTAAGGCCAAATAAATACTGCTTAGCACACGAAGCTTTCCGAGGTTACTTTTGTGACTTGTAGATACACGGAGAAGCATTTTTGTGCGGCAACTGGACAACAGAACTAGTGTAATCGTGCAGTGAGCTAATTTGCTTCATTAAAGGAGAGAAATGCCCTCACGTTATTCTTAAACTAATCTCGCTATGCCGGCGAATACTTTTGGCCTGCTAGTTAGGCAATTGCTCCTGTCTTATTGCATAGACTCTCGCGCGAGGTTCTCAAATATTCATCAAAATTGCTTGAAGCAACCGTATTAAGAAAAAAACTTGACAGATCTCACTTATTTTGGGTGTCCACTTCAAGTGAAACAGTGGGCTATTCGTGACCTACGTCGTTTTTAGTGCTTTGAGCCAAGCATTGTGACTTGTACGAACCTGCTCATGTATTTTGAGTAGTTAAGTTATGCCATGCTGGTAGGCCAGTATTGAATGAAATATCTTTTTCCGGGTGGTGGGGAAAAGGGGTGGGGGTGAGCACTTGCCGAAAGGTTAGAATGTTTCGTGAAATCACCCGTGTGACAAAAGT